AACTGGGAGCACTTTAGGGGCAGAGCCCCATAGAGCACAACGTGGGGGGGAGGGGAATTTACCATCAGCCCCCCTGCAAAGGAAAGGGGGGCAGGGTGATGCTGGGGAGCACAGAGGGACCCCCACCCCACAGCAGGATGGGGGGGGTTCAAATAAAGACGGAGACAGGCAGATCCATTAACCAAAATATCCTCCGGTTTCTATTCACAAGGAAAAGCTCCAGTCCATCTTTTTTTTATTATTATTATTTCTTTTTTTTTTGTTTTTTTTTCTGAAAAATCTCCTGACGTTACAGAACTAAACTGAAATGTCGCTCTTCCACTCTTTAACAATGTGACCAACAGAAACTTCATGAGCCGAAAAAAGGGGGGGGGGGGGGGGGCAGGGGGGGGCAGAGGAGGGGAGAGAGAAGCTTTAATAAAACTAAGATGGGCGCTCGGCAGCGGAGCGGAAAGGAAATTAAATGCTGTAATGAAAACAAAAATTAAACCGACGACGACGAAGAAGAGGAGAAAAAAAAAAAAACAAAAAACAAAACCCCCCAAAAAATCAATGAAATAAAACTGAAAGAATCCGATGAGTGGCGAGGAGAGCAATGGGAGGAACCGAAAAATTTACAAACTAGTTTAAAACCTGGGGCTGCTGCTAAGGGACTACACAGATGGATGGTGAGGTGAGGCCGAGGGTCCGCAGGCCGTGCCGGGGCCCTCCTAGCTGCTTCCCATGCCCCCGGTCTCGGAGGAGAGCCTGCAAGGAAGAAGAGGCGTCAGAGGGGGGCTGGGGGGAGGTAAGGGGGGGGGTTCTGCCAGCTGGAGGGCTGGCAGTGTGATGGGGATGCAGGAGTGTGGGAAGGGGTGCAGGGCTGAGGGCTGCCGCCCCCCTCCCCAGCAAAGCGCAGTGCTGCAGATGGGGCTCCCAGCAGAGCAGTGCAGAGCGCCCCCCCCCCCAAAAGGATCCTGAGAGCAGGGGGCAGCGAGGAGGGGAGGGGGCAGCAGGGAACGGGGAACCCATGAGGAGCCCTCAGGGAGCAGCAGGAAGTGGGGAGGGGGGGGAAAAACAGCGCAGCATCCCCGAAGCACAGCCCCAGAGCTGCACCTCAAAGCCTCTCCTCCCCTCCCTGAAATGGGGGCACAGAGCGCTGCCCCATGGAGGGTGGCTGTGAGCCCCCCCCTCTGCCACAAGGAACCCCTCCGGGCCCCCTCCCCACACGTGGGGCTCAGCTTGGCCCCCCCTCTCCCCCCGCACAGAGCTGCAGAGCACATTCTCACCGTGGCAACTTTATTACAGGTACAGACATTAAAGAGACAGCGAGGCCGCGAGCCCCGTGGGCAACGGAACCGGGAATGCAATTAAATCCAGACTCGTTTATTCGGTAACGACCCCCCACCCCTCCCCTCTCTCTGCCCCCCCCACCCCCACCCCAAACCCACACGATTGCAACCGAGCTACTAAAAGAAAAAAAAAAAAAAAATGGAAAAGAGGAGGGAAAAAAGAACCCAAAAAACTGAGGGCTACAAAGCTCTAGTGGGATGGATGGGGGGGAATGGAGCACTGCACCCCAGGGCACGGGGATAGGAAAAGCAATGGGCAGCCCTGGTCAGAAAAGTGGGGGGTCTAAGAAACATCACAATGGGGGGGGAGAAGGAAGGAGGGGGGAAAAACCCAGAGGGGAAATGAGATCTGAGCTGCCCGCATGGGGCAGTGCTGCCCTATGGCTCAGTAAGGAGAGAACCTCTGCTTTTCCGCTTTCAGTTTGTTAGTAACGCACGGCACGGCCGGGGCGGAGGCACCCTTAGCAGCAGACACAACATTTAGAGCCAGGAGAGGGACAGGTTTCATGCCAAGCAGACTGGAGACACAAGGGGCGGTCGGAAGAGGGTTGGGGAGGCTGGCGGGCGCGTCGGAGGCCCCCGCTGTGGCGAGCGAGGGGGTGGTGGTGGAGGAGGAAGAAGAAGAAGGGGTGGAGGGTTGAGAGAGGTTGATGCTGAGGTGGTCAGGGATCGTGACGGAGGCTGCCTGGGAGGAGGGTTTAGCGCTTTCTAAACTGTAACAGAGGAGAAAAGGAACAAAAAAATGGGTGGGTGGGTGGGAAGAGCACAGAGGAAGCACAGGACAAACAGCGAAACCCGGCTCGGGGAGGGGGGGGAGCGCAGCACGGAGCCGAGATGAGCAAAAGTGGGGCTGCTCCTCCATAGGGAGAGCCCCGCAGCCCCAGTGCCACCCCACAGCCACCACTCATCTCCAGCATCCACAGAGCTGAGGGTCCCAATGAACCCTAATTCCGGCCCTAACGCTCACCATGGGACACATCCACACACCCGCAGGCCTCAGCGCAGCCGTGAGGGCCCAATCCCTCACCCCACAGCACTGCAGACCCCACGGGGAACCCAGCGGTCCCCGAGGGCTCACAGCTGCAGGGCTGACACTGCCTGCATCCATTGGGATCCCTGGGATCCCCACATCCCACTGGGAGGTGCTGGGGATCCCGCCTTGATCCCCCCTCAGCTGCAGCACCCCCAGAAGCCCTCAGCACAGAAAGCCACGGATCCGCACCACACAACCCAAACTGCTGAAATCCCAAACACAGCTCCGGGGACCCCACGGTCCCCTCAGCCCCACAGCAGCCTTCCCTCATCCTACAGCTTCCCACAGAGCAGGAGGCGATCGCAGCAGGGGGGGGGCAGGCATGGGGAAGGGGAAGGAAGGGCACAGGGATGGGGGGGGTGGGGAGGGAAGCCCCTTCCACTCATGCTTGGGGCACAAGGGTGGTCCCAGCCCTCCCCCCCCCACACTGCCTCATCACAGAGACTCACCTGACATTAATTAGATACTGGGCCAAGCTAATGCTTGCTGCAGATCCAGTTATGGTAACCTGCCTGTCAGTAGATCCTTCCACTGGATTGGCAATTTTGATCTGCGCCCCGGACATCTGGCGGATCTCATTGATCTTGGCGCCCTGACGCCCAATGATGCAGCCAATCAACTGCAGGGAGACAGCGGCTTCGTTAGCAGCTTCATCAGCAGTGGGCAGAGCACCCCATCCCCCTTCATCACCCAGAGGTGGGGTTGATGGCTCCCAGGAGGGCTTTAAACCCTTTCCAGTACTCCTTTATAAGGAGACTTCTGAGATGGGCAGACAGTGACAGGACGAGAGGCAACGGCTTCAAACTGAAAGTGTGGGGAGGGAGCTCTGCACCCAGAGCTGTGGGTGCTCCTTCCCAGGAGGAGCTCGGGGCCACAGAGGGGTCCCCGCATGGCTGATGGGTGGGAGCAGCACAGGGTTAGAGCTGGGTGACCCCTAAGGTCCCTTCCAACCAAAGCCATTCTGTGGTTCAATTTAAAATGGCAGGAGAAAAAGTAGTATGTACGAGATTTCTGCCTTAAATCTGGCTGGAAGGAAGAGGGATGAAGACAGCAGACCAAGGAGCTGTTTGGGGTGAAGCCATCACTCATAACACTGCCTTGAGCCCCCCTGCAGACAGGGAGAAGCAGCCTCACATCCCATCTCATAGGGGCACAGATTCTGCTGAGCCCCCCCACCCCCCACCCCTCAGTGAGGTGGATGCTGATACTCACATCATTTGGAATGGTGAGTTCATGAGAGGTGGTTTGAGCAGAAGCATCCAAACCTGTTTAAAAGACAGAGACAAAGCAGGAGAGGGTCAGGGGGGGCGGCGGGGGACACGGGCACAGCGGGCAGCCAGCACTCACTGCTGGCCTCACAGCCACCTGGGAGACAGCTCAGACAGGAGGGGAAGGGAGAGCAAGCGGTGAAGTTACTCGAGCCCCACTCCCCTTCTCCTCCTCCCCACTCACCTGCTGCCCCCCCACCCCCTACTTCTCCCCTCATTGCCACCACAAGCTCTCCTCTGCAGTGGGGCAGTCCTAGAGCAGCACACCCCATCTCCATGGGGCCACCATCCACATCTGCAGCCTCCGAGCGTTTCGCTCCCTCACCCCAGCAGGGCAGTGCCAGGTCAGGCCCCCACCAGGCTGCTGCTCAGGTTTCTTACTCTGCATTTTGCCCCCCTGCCCCACTCCGGGAGCTGAGACCTCATTACAGGGCCCTGGCAGGGGAGCAGCAGCTCAGTGCAGACGCAGCAGTGATCCCTGCAGCGCCAGGCAGGGGCTGCACTGCTGGATGCAATCCAGGGCAAAAGATTTGTGGGGGCAGGGAGGAGGGGAGGTGGGAGTGGGCTGCCTATGGGTGAATTATGGGGGGCTCAAATATGCTCAAGGCTTTCTAACAGCGTCACACACCACACAGCTGAGCCCTCTGGCAAAGTTCTGCTCTCCAGAATCCAGAGTGCAACCTGACAGCTCCTGAGGGGCATCCGGGACCTCCAGCCCTCCTGCAGCTCCCCTGGCCCCCCCTTGCCCCTCCCACCCGTGCACAAGGCGGGCAGCGTTTAACAGGGAGAACGAGACCCCAGTCAGTATTAATACACAATAAACTACAGATTTTGTGTTTTAATCATTACCCCAATAGCCTTTCACCTCTGGAGAGCTGGATTCAATGCCTGTTAAGACATAAGTGACAATGAGTTTGGCTGTCTTATGTTTAGAGCCCCAAATGGAAATGCAGCCACCTTAGCAAACGCTACAGCAAATTTGGTGCAACTCAGCAGCTGCCTGCTCAAGGCTGGAGCAGCTGGAGGAGAGAGAGCAGGTGCTGCAGGCCAGGGGGGTCCCCAGAGCATTGGCAGAGCCGTGAAGGACAGGGTGGGAGGGAGGAAAGCAGTACGGAGGCCCTGCCTGCTCACTGATCTGCCCTCTGCGGGGAGGGGGAGGGGGCAGAGACCACAGTTGCCCCCAGAGGCAGCACGACAGAGATGGTTACCTGGCCAGACTTCATCATTCAGGCTGTGGGTTTATGGGTTTGTTTGGTGTTGGTTTTTTTTTTTTTTGAGCACACGAGACCCCGTGCAGAGGCCCTGCTTAGAGGGGAGCCCAGCTCCCAGGTTGGCCTTCGGCCCACGTTAGCGTACAGAGGAGAGAAGGAGTTTCCATACCACTGAATCCAGTGTTGCCATGAGACATTGGAAAGTGTGACTGTTGCATTGCCAACTGGTGCAGCTTGGTCAGCTAGAGGAAAGAGAAAAAAAAAAAAAAGGCTGATGTTAGCTATTTCCCAAGCCCAGCAGGGCCAGGACCACGCGGCAGGCACACGGACACAGCGAGCGGCACCAAAGGCCTCCCCCCACCCTCGGCCAGGAGTGGGCTGGGGGGCTGCGCCCACCCCCCAGGAGAAGCAAGGAGCTATGAGAGGAGCTCAGGGAGACGAGCAGAGAGGAGCAGGAGAAATGAGACCACAGGGTGCTCACACCACACCATGCAGGGAGCAGCATGGGGAGAGGGATGTGATGAAGGGAGGTCAGGATGGAGCCTGGGGCGGTGCGTGGCCCCTGCAGCAGCTCAGAGCACAGCTTCCTCCTACCCCTCCTTGCCAGAGCCCCCCCTCACTGCTCTAAGGGCGCCAGGAGAAGAGATCAGCCCCGCCAAGCCTGCAACGAGCCTACGGGATGAGCATGGCTGCCAGAGGAGGGCGGCATCCCAGCAAGCAGGGACAGCACCCACGGTGAGGGAGGGAAAGGGGGGGGGGTGGCCACCACCTGGACTGTTCTCCTGTACCCAGCGGCCCCCACAGGCTGGCAGCAGCCTGGGCCAGGCCAGATCCCCCCCTCCACTGCCACCTGCGACGGCTCAGCTGTCCCCTGCCCCAGGAGAGCCACCGTGACAGCGTCCCGTCATGCGCTGTGATGTCCCTGGATGGGACGTGTGCCAAATTCAAGAGGGGAGGGAAAGCCGGAGCTGGAGTGAAATGCCAGCCAGGGGGGAGGTGGTGGTGTCGGTGAGGGGGGGGAGCAGAAAAACGGAGGAGGGTGATGTCAGAGAGAAAAGGGGAGGGGGGGAAAAGGAGAGATCTGTGACCAGGTGAAGCTGGCTGCAGGAGGGCGAAGTTTTTTGGGGGGGAGTTCGGATCAGATCGAGTTTCAGCCCAAGCTGACAGCTCGAATCGAGAAAGCACAGAGAAAATTTTGGAAGGGGGAAGAAGGGTGGATTTCAAGACAAGAAGTGTAAACAAAAACTTACATCTGGCTGTGGAATGGCATACTGTCCTTGAATGGTATAGGCCTACAAAAGGAGGAAAACAGTCCTATTAACAACCATCGGACAGCCACCCAGGGACAGACATTTCAACTAGCCAGGAAGTCAGAGAGCCAAGGCGGAGAGTTCTCCGGGGCAAGGGAAGTGGGGCAGGGAGAGGCAGGGGACGGATAATGCTGTACCAAGCAGTTTCTAGACGGGAAGGTACTCGAATTGGCCTTAGGTGGCAGTTACAGGGAGGGAGTGGACAGTATGGCGCCGTCCCCCCCAAAAAAAGGTGGCAGACAAACAGAACGGCTGGGATCTTGATGAAGATGTATGGTGTGGTGGAGTCCGACAATGCTTCTAGCCCTGCGCCCCCCGCCTCGCCGACAGGGGAGGGTCTCCAGCGCCCACCAGCCCTGCTAGCTCCCGGCCCCTCCTTCCCCGGCCCAGCAGCCCCCCAAAAAGTCCCGCTCCGAGTCCTCTCGTCACTCCGCACGCCTAGGAAACGTCGCCGGGCAAGCTAGAGGTCACTGCTGGAGCTGGCTACCGATGCTAGACAAGGCAAAGAGAGGCATTTGGGGGGTAACGAGGCTGAGCGCCTGACCTGCCAATTCCTCGTCTCGAGGTTAAGGGACAGCCACAGACTTCAGATTCCTCCTGAAGCTACCCAGAAAGGGCGAGTCACTGGCTGGGGCCTGGCTGGCTAAGGTGGGGGGCCGGGCAGGGGGGACAGGAGAGGCAGGGGAGAGGGGGGTACACAGCCTCACTTCCAGGTCACCGGAAGAACTGCAGCCCAGGCTGGAATTGGCCCAAGTTCGTTGCCATGCAGTGGCTGCCGGGTGGCCTGCGTGAGGAGAGGTTGGTGGGCTCAGAGTCCAGTTCCCAAGTGGACAGGAGTCCACAGCACAAAAGCCACCGTGACGGGTTTTGGGGGACGGGGACAGGGAATGCCACCCTTGTTGGCAGTCTCAGAGAGGCCAAGGATTGAACGGGCCGTGGAGACTGAACTCCCCTCTCACCTCCTGAGGTGGTCCCTCCAAGTCAGAGTTGAGGCACATGGATGGGGCGGTGTGGGGGTAGCTCGCACTGCCGCTGCTGTACCTGTCCTGTGGATAAATTAGAGGACTTCAGTCTCCAGGGCTGTCAATCCGAAACCTTCCGCTAACACCAAAGTCACATCGACATTAGCTCTGCTTTCGAGGGCTAACCCTGCTCTACGCACGACTCTGAGCTGCGAGACAGAGCACAACACCACCAGGAGCGGGCCCGGACGGCTGCAGCGGGCTGGCCCTGGGCCGGGGGAGAGGGGTGGAAGACAAGGAGGGGAGAAAAAGGGAAAGGGAAGGAAGAGATGCGTGGCTGTCGGGAGCCTGCTCCTCACTGCTCTAAGGGGGATGGCGGCCGGCTCCCTTGCCGGGGGGGCTGCACGGTACGACCCTCCGCTGGCAAAGGGCGCGGGTGGCTTCGCCCGGCGCTCCCCCCCGGGTGCAGAGTGGCAGGAGAAGCTGTCGGAGAGCGGGGGCTGACCAGGGTCAAGGGGGGGAAGGAAGAGGCAGGGAGGGCGAGGGGTGGGGGTGCTGAGGCAAGGGTGGGGAGGGGACGGCAGCAGCTCCGTCCCCACACAAGCGTGGCACTCGGAGGCCCGGCTCCAGGGGAGGCTGCCAGCAGCTCTCCACCCCAGCTGCAGCATCGGATCCGGTCTGTGTGGCCATGGCTCTGCCCTACAGCAGGACCCCAAGGCTGATGGCAGGGGGCTCCAGGCCCCCCACATCAGCAGGCACCCACCCTGGGGGGGCCTCCCTGGCAGCACGGAGGCAGCAGATGCATCTGCGAGTTGCCCTGTGTTGCTCCAAGCGGTAATGGCAGCCCTGGGAACTGAGGGGTGGGAAGCGGTGACCCCCACACCCCAACCTCCTCTCTCACCCAGTGGGGACCAGCACATCCCCAAAAAGCTTTGGGACTCGGAGCTTTACAGCAGACAGGACCCCAAGGGAGCCCTGTCGCCTGTAACGGCAGCGCCTGGCTCCATAGCTAAAGCACTGGGGTGGCCCAAGACAGCTGCCCTCCCCGAGGCGGGGCAGGGGGGGAGCAAGCGACTCCCCAGGATCAGGTCAGCACAAGAAGGGCTGCATCACTGATCCCTTAAGGCTACTTCTATCTGACACCCTCCCCTCGCCAAGACGAAGCTTTTCTACACCCCAACCCTGCCCAAGGCACAGGCTGAGCCTTTGTACCCTAAGAGCCAGCCCCAGAGAGCAGAGAACCCTCAACCTCTGGGCCAGTCACCCACACAGGTCGCACCGAGTCCTCGGAGCCAGTCCCAGAGAGGGGACAACTGGCTTTGGCAGCTGGAGTCCCATCCCAATTCAAATCCCCAACCACCACCATGTCGGGATTTCCCCCCGGTTGCTTCAGGAGCACTTTGACAACACCACCCCCCTCCCCAAATTAACCCTCCCAGCTCCCTCCCTGCCTCTGCCCTCCTGCCTCCCGCAGCAGGCTCAGCGAGGAAGGCTCGGAGCAGGCTCTGGGAGGCCGAGGCCAAGCAGAGCTGCTCCATGCCAGAGGAAGCGGTGTGGGTGACAGGCACGCAGAGCAGCTGATGTGCGCTGGCGGTGTGGCAGCTTGTTTATCCCCCACCCCCCCTGCCACACAGACACCCCTCCCCTCCCAGCACCCCACGAGCTGAGGAGAGGCCTTACCTGACCGCCTGCAAAGATGACGGGAGAGCTGGATGGCTTGGGTCGGTACGGGATGGTGACGCCCTTCGGGGGAGACTGGGTGACAGCAGAGAAGGGACATCAGGCACCGAGCGCTGCCAGCCACCCCCTCCCAGCACCCAACGCTTTGCTTCAAGTGCAAGTCTGCTCCCAGGAGGCCACAGAGCCTGGCTGAGCCCCGAGGGCTACAAACAATCCTACTTATTCTCCGCTCCACACGCTGAGCAGAGGGAGGCTTGCAGCACCGTGCTGGGACAGGGGGACGCTGCTGCTCGGTGTCACTGCTCACCAGGGCAGCAAGCAGCACCATCAGCTGGCAGGAGCTCAAGAGGACTGGCTCGACCCCAGCTTAAAGCAGCTCCAAGCCTCACTTGTAATCCCCAACTATCCTTTTATCCCCCAGCAGCCGCTCCTCTGTCCTCAGGGGTTTCTATTGGTCAGGAGGGCTGCGGCCAAGAAAGGGCAGAGGGATCCCTGTGCCTCACACGTGTCCCCAGGGAGAGGGCCCGACACACAGCTGGGGGGGGCCCTACCTCAAGCATGACAACGCAGATCTGTTTGACGCACTCAATGATGGACTGTGGGATCCCAGCAATGGTGATGGCTCGCTCAGTCGAGTTGGGCAGCATGTCTCCTGCCACCTGGACCTGTGCCCCTGTGCTCTGCAAAGTTTAAGGATAAAAATAAACGGTCAGACCCGGGGAGGACAGTGAGCTCACTGCATCCAGCAGCCTCGTGGCCAAGTTATACATAGCTAGAAGTGCCCCCCTTCTCCCTCAAAATAATGCCTTTAATCCTAGCTGGAAATAATTCGGTCAGGAGGAGGAATCAGGCTGCGGCCTTCCTCTGTAACCCAAGTCAAGCCCATCTCTGCTGCGAGCAGAACCGGACAGGGTTAATCCCTGGCAGCTAAGGGTCAGTGGCACTCAACACTAAGAAGCATTACATGCCTTTCTCACTGAGAACTGGGGGCTTGGCAGGCTGGTGGCATGCATTCCCCCCTCCCGCCAGCTGGGAAAAAGCCTAAGGAAAGGAATTGAGAGTAGCAGGAACCCAAGCACCCCGCTCCAGGGGACAGTGCCGGGAAGGGGAGGCTCTGACCCAGTCTCAGTTTCACAAGCACTAAAAATACGAGGAGCTTTTTAAAAAGGGCCAAATGATGCTGCCTCTACACTATGCAGTTCCACTTATGCAGGGCAGACACAAGTTCTTGCCCCCTCCGCCACGCACCAGGCCCTGCACATCATCAGCAGGGCAGCCAGCACCCACCTCTCGTATCTCCTTGATCTTGCAGCCTCCTTTTCCAATCAGGGAGCCGCACTGGCTGGCAGGCACCACGAGCCGGAGGGTGACCGGGGGCCGGCTGGCAGCCGTGCTGTTGGTCATGGAGCTGCTGATGTCCTGTGAGGAAGAGGAGTTGCTTAGAGGGGCCAGTTTGGTGCAAGACCTTCGCCAGAGGGATGGGGCTGGTTTGCTCCAAGGTGATGTCTGAACCTCCCAGATCCCATTTTTCAGGGCTTTGTTAACGTGCTGGAATCAACACAGCCACATTTTTGAGGTGAAAGCAGCCAAACTCTGTGGCTTGCTGTATTGGTGAAATGGGGGCTTAATCCCCACCAGCCCAATGCAGAGGCATTGGGTCAAGCCACAGCTAAATGGGAACCAGCCATGCTGAAGAGATGAGGGGCTGGGGGCTCAGCCTCCCCCTGCAGACAGCTCCCAGTTCAGCTCTGAGCCGTAATGGGGATGAAAGCTCAGTGAAAACAAGCTGGGTGCTGATTAAAGCAGTCATATGTGGGCAGGGGGAGGGGAGGCACACGGCTGGGCTCAGCTGACCTACTAAAAGAAAAGCTTTTGCTGAGCCCCAGGCTCAGAGCACCAGCAGCGAGAGCCAGGAGGATGTCAGCTCCCAGGACACAGCAGCAGTTTGGGACTCACAGCTTTCTGGGCGTTCCCATGAGCACAGGGGTCTGATGTGTTGACAGGAAGGGGGTCCTGAATCCAAAGGGATAAAGCACCGGGAGCTTTGCGTCCCACAAGAGATGGGAGGGCCAAGGAGCTCATCCCTTCCAAAAGCCCAAAGTTCCTCAACCACAGCCCTGAGCAGGCTCTGACTCCCACAGTTGGGATTCAGATCAGCATCCCACTGAGAATCAGCAGTTCTGCAGGAGCAGGGTCGGGATGCAGATTGTCCTTCAGTGCTGCAGGACCCCCAGACCCCTCCTCAGCAGGGCTGGATATTGGGCTGAGCCCCCACTGCACACAGAAACATGCAGGCAGGGAAGCAGCAGAACAGTCCAGAAGAACAAGGCAAGCAGGGATTCAAAGCCCCGCTCTGTTTGATGCTGTTTTAGTGGTGGTCACAGGGAGTTCCCAGCCCTGGGCAATCACCACAGGGCTCCGACGCTCAGCAAGCAGGCACTTAAGGTTGGCTGAGCACTCAGGAGGAAAAAAAATCATACCTGGACCCTGGACTCTGCTGAGGGAAGGGCAAAGATCAGCCCCTGCTGGGAGAACACTCCTCACCCATGGGGAGGATCATGAGGCTGCTCCAGCCCCCCAGGAGCTGTAGGGCCTTGCACCCAGCCTTGCACAACAGCTCCACAGGGCAAATTTGTCCAGAAAAATAAAATAGTTTAAAAAAAAAAAAAGTTGAGCATCGTCCCTGTAGCACACAGGGGAAGCTCAGGGCTGAGACGCACCTCTTCCAGTTTGTCAATGATCATCGCAAAAGCTTTGAAGATGGCATTGGTGGGGCCGGCAAGGGTGATGATCCGCTCGGGGCAGTTCCCTTCTGAGATGTTAATGCGAGCACCACTCTGTGGGAAGGAAGCAGCGTGGGACATCAGGGCCCCGCAGAGCCACGAGGCCGCCCTCCTCCCTCGGCTCAGCGCCCGGCAGCCATCTTAGCCATGCTGGCTTCCTGCCCCAGCCCTGACTACATCTCCCAGCATGCCTTGCGCCCACCGGCTCCATCTGCTGCCGGTGCTGCGCCGCCAGAAAATTCCTTTCAAGGCTGGCAGCGCTACGGACCCCTCAGCCCCCCCCCCTCCACCCCCAGCCCTAAGGCTCACCTCCTCGCGCATCTTCTTCACGGATTCCCCTTTCTGTGAAAGAAAATGAGAAGGGAGAGGTGTCAGCGTGGCTGCGCTGGGTGGGGGGCAAGGGGGAGCACTGGGAAGGGGGTGGGGGGGGGTTTTGCTGCTCGCTTACCTTCCCAATGATGCTGCCGACCTCCTGGGAGGGGAACAAAAGCAACAATTAGGAAGTGCTGAAAGAACTCCCCCAGCACCAACGGCATCCCCACAGCTCCCGACTACAGAGGATAAAACGCAGTTTTTGGGGGCAAAACAAACTCCTGGACACCCTCTCAACCACGCTGACATCGCACCCACGGTTGTGCTCATTCTTTCCCAACCCCCCCCGCTGTTATTTTTATTGATGTGCTGTGCTTTTAAAGCGCTGCCTCGGTCGTCACGAGCTGCCCGAGCCCCGGCTGGGTGCCAAGGAGCACATTCCTCACACCACTGGCTAATGGCGGCCACGAGGCAGTGGGGGGGGATGAGGGAGCACTGCCATCGAGCGCTGCTGGCTGGATTTGGGGGGGGGGCTCAGTGGGGGGAAACACACGTACCTTTCCATGCATGAGTAGCCGGATGGTGAGCGTGACATTTAATCCACCTTCAATGACACCGGTGTCCATCTTGGGCTGCGTTGGGTCAGGTCAGGCTTTGTCAGCGGTCAGATCTTTGGTCGCTGGGTAGCGGGAGCTGGGAAAGAGAGGGGTCGGCTTTGAGGCCCCTCCCTCACCCTCCCCACCTGTGTCAGACCCCATCCCGCATAGAGCCGAGTCCTCTCGGAGTTCTCCCCCAAAAGATATGGGGCTGTTCTCCTCCCTAGGGCAACCCATGGGGCTGGGAGCCCCACGAGGCTCCTCATCCCCACTCAGAGTAGATGGGCAGCACAGCTGTGATCCCCACCTGCACCCAGCACAGCCAGGTTCGCTCATCCCCCACATCAGAGGCTTTGCCCACTGCTCCAGGACTTGCCTCGACTCGAAGCCTCTGCACCTCAACCCAACCAGGAGCCTCCCCGGGCAGCCACGTGTAGGCACACACAGCTGCTGCCCCATTTCCCTCTTGTTTCACCCACTTGGGAAGCCAAGTTGTTGAAGGGAGGGGGGATAAAAAACAAAAAAGCTTTCTCCCAGCTCCGCCTGCACTGAGGGCTTTCAGAGCAGCTTCCAAGTTGATTTACTCAAAGCAGATAAGGCCACATGAGCCCACGATCAGGTTTCAAACAACCTGCGGCCCAAGCCGACAGCAGTTGCAAAACACCACAGTCAGCCTAAGAGCTGAGCAGCTCAGCAAAATGTCTGTTTAACTCTCACCTCTCTCAAAAAAAAAAAACGAAACAAAACAAAAAAAAACCCCACTACATGCAACTCAACTAAATAAACTGAATTTCGGCTGTGCTCTGCTTTCATCAGCTCAGTGTCTCATCAAAGTTTAACCAAACCCAGTGAAGGACTGAGCTGAGCAGAGCAGGGCAAGGGCAGGGGGATTAATCTCACAGGGCCGTGCCAAGCTCCGAGCGAATGCTCTTTTAAGGGGAAGCTGCTGGCAGTGGAGGTTTCTGCTGTAGTGAGCAGTGAAGGCTCCCAAGAACTCCACGTTTTGGGTCAGAGCCGTGCGGCCAAAATAGGGCTGGAAGTGGGGCTGGAGGAGCACAGAGCCCCAGCCGCAGGATTTGGGGCATTTCAGGGCTCCTGGCTGCCCGCTCCTCCTCCCCCCCCAGCTCAGCACGCTGCCGTCGTTTGCATTCATTCGCAGCGGTTCTGCCGGTCCAACGAGCCGCCCGGGGACAAAAGGCGGCGTGGATCGGGCAGAGGGGCTGAGCAGGGAAACTTCCCCGAACTTCTCCTCACCTCCGGGCCTCAATCGGCCCAGCGCACGTGGGGGTGGGGGGGAGGCCCGGCCCTAACGAGGGCTGGGGGGCTCTGCTCCAAACTGAAGGCAGTTTTGGGGGAGGATCCGAGTCCTGCGAGGGTATCCGGAGGTGAACGAGAGCCCAGAAGGATTTCACGGGGGAGAAAAACGAGGAGGGGAGTGGGAAAAGCAGCTCGGAAATGGGCCCGGGAGCAGAAAACGAGGGGCCTAAACGCGGGGCGGCCCCAAACAGGGAACGGAGGGAACGAATAGAAATAGGGGGAGAGGGACAGGGGGGGCAGCAGCGGGCCGGGCCCGAAGGAGGGAAACGCTGCGACCGCGGCTGCGAAAACATTGGGGGGGGCGGTTTCAAAAACGGGCC